GATCTGGAACTCTTTCCATTTCCTTCTAATTGACTTTGAGCAAGAGTTTGGTGTTTAATTACATAACTGCTGAAAGCAGGTGGATTCTGCAGCTTCAAAAAGCTTCTTCAGAAAGTTTAAGGCTAGAGAGATTGTTGACCATCAGTTCTGACACAACTTCATGTTCGTCACGTGCCACAGAATTTCCCTCTGTACTGCCATTTTTTGTCTAAATCATCCTTCTTCCAGAAATGCATGTAGTATAAGTTTAAATGTAGAAAAAAAGACATTTATTATTATCACTAGTAATTTCTTGTAGCATCTAATTGTTCTTATAAGTGCTCTCGTTTTAAATCACGAAAAAAAAAGTGTCTAATTCTAATGTCAATTATTGATTTTCTTCTTCCATACACTTGTTACCTTTCTCTGCTAAACTAAAGAGTCCAAAACTTGACGAGTAAAACTGTCACTAACTTTCTCTCTGTAATGCACTTTACTAAGCCCTTGAAGGCTTGGGCTTGTTTTCTTTTCTTTTCTTTTTAATACCTCTTCTTCAGCTGCCATTTGTTGTTTTATTATCTTACTTAGAAAACAGGCAGCAGAAACATATGTTGGTATCACCATCAGTGAGACAGAGGTCACCTTCCTATCAGTGTGTTTACTAGAGGATATCAGTCCCCCTTCAACCTCACGACAGTGAAGCTCATGTTTGTTACTTGTGTATTAAACCCTTAAAGCTTCTGAAAACAGACCATCCCTTTGCTGCCCATGGATGCTTGTCATTGAGTGAATAGGACTCAGCTTAACAGGTAAATGAGATGGTTTACGAGGACTGCCCTCTTTTCTTTCTCTTTCTGTCTTTTAACTTTTCCAACACTGTTTCTATCATCTGTAAGTTCCTAAAAATTAATTTGTGAATACCTCTACATCACAGATTAAAATGATAAATAACTTTGGTCCTAGTCTGATCACAGAGGAAGTCCACCAGCAACATACCAAGTGATGATTTCCTATTGTGAGTTCTTCATGAGATCTTTATTTTGGCAGCTTGAAGTCTTCCTAAATAAATGTAATTAACATACTGATATAGCATTAATGACAAGCATAATAATGTGAGATAACACAAAGACTTCAGTAAAGACAATTTACACAGATACATTTGCCAATTAAATCTGTAATTTCATGAATAATGAAAGTAAGTTTCTCAAATTGTTTTCCTTAAAGCTTAAAACCCTTGCCAAGAATTGGATTTGACATTTTTTCTTCTCTGAAACTCACCTGAGTTTTTTCACTGCTTTGCCTGTTGTTGTTGTAACTATAGCCAGTATTTTCCAGATCAGTCCACTTACCATTTTTAAACAAGTCTGTAACACTAGAACATACTCCTACTTCCCCAGACAATTTGTGATTTCTTAGAAAATTAATACTGTGGGCCAACAAGTTCCTTAACAAATTCATTATGGCTCCTAGGCACAATTCCTCACAGCCTAGTATTTATTAATATTGTCTAAACCCTCCATACTACTTCTTTATCCCATGGGATAAAGATGAGAAAGACATGAATGTCAGTCTGTACCATCGATACGAGTCAGGAGGTTGGCCAGCTAGATGACCGTGCAGAGAATTACACTTAGGAGCTGCTTTTTGTTGGTTTGTGTATTAGTTTTATATCTGAAGTTGACTTTCTGTAGAGTTTCATGGAAAGAATGCAGAAGCCCAGAGATATTTTAAACTGGCTTGCACTATTTTTGACTAAGTCAGAAAATCCTTTAATAGCTTAAAATTCAAGGGAAAGGTTTTGTGTATCTAAACCAGAGCCTTCAGTAATCTGTCAGTTTCTGTGGCTGTTAAGGTCTTTTCTAGAGCTGCAGCAGTTCGAATGTCTAAGTGGAAGATCCCAGTATTCATTTTTACTCCAATTCTGCAATTTGTGACAGTGTTTTAAAGGCTCTCTGTGGACTGGTTCCTAAAAAAATGTTAGAGGGATGGGGGGAAAAGTGGATAACAGATTCTTTTAGCTGACTTGGATTTGTGAAGGGGCAGGATTCAGAATATCCAACTTGAGTAACCAGTCTGGGCTTTCTTGTAATTGTGAGAAAATAAGATTTTTTCAGGTCATGAAGGGGTTCTTCAAAGGAAATACCAAATACTTCATTGAAAGACATTTGGCCTTCAAGCCCCGGGAATTGACTGTAGGTCTAGATCACAGAACATAGGCCTACTGGGGAGTTTCCTGTCCTTATGAAATCTCATTACATTTTGCCTGTTTGGTTTGTTTTTTTTTTCTGGCTTTCTAAGAAAATGAGGTTTCTACAGACATGTAGTCCCTCATTCTGCCATCTTACTTCTGGCCCAGCCCGGTTCATACTTTTTAAGCCATTGTCCAACTTCATGGTAAGTCCTAGCAGTCAACAGTTGCATGAAAACTAGTAGCTAAATAAAGGAGAATGACCCAAGTTACCTCATTTCCCCTTCACTCCACTGAGAATACCGCCATTGAACTGGGTAGTAGCAACAAGCCCAGCAATCCCCATTTACTTTTCTCTGCTGCTCCAATGTAGTTGCTGGGGAGTGTGAATAAGTGGAGATACGAAAAGCAAAACTAACAGAGCACTGAATGCATATAGCAAGTCAAGGATCATCATGAGAAAACCCTAGCATTTGCTTCTAGATTGTAGTATAACTGTGGGGAATGACTTACCACTGGGGCAGATGTTTCTGTCTGTATATACAAAGTGTTTCTGATAAGGTGTTCACTTACATTGCTGCAGTATGCTGTATAGGCAACACTGGAACAGTGAGTGGTGACGAATGGCCTTATGTCACCTGAGTCTTTAATGAGCTGAGGAAGAGTTTTTGAGCAGGTAGACAACTCCAGCAGAAACTAAAGTAAATTCTTTGTTCCAGTCCTTTAACAATCCATTTGTCCTTACAAGCCAGACTCCTTCCTGCAGTGAGGTGGCCAGTGATCTTCTTCATATGTATGTGTCTTTGTTCCATAGTTTATGTTCCTTTGCAATAGTATTTTTAGGTTCTAATGTGTGATCTTTCCTAACCATCTTACATAGCTTTATCCAAACTCTTCGACTGAAAGTTATCTTTGGCTTGCTCTCCATTTGTCTCTCTAAACAACAGAGACATGTGAATTTATATTTGCTAGATGCCTGCAAGAATACTTTTCTAGTGTCCCTCCTCCATTTGGAATGGAATAGCAGCTTGTGACTTTTTTGGCTCTAGCCTGACTCAGGGAGAAGAGTTGCCTCAGGAAAGGCGTGTGGCTTTTCTTTTCACCGTGTGGTTGGCTGAGCACAGCACATGTGAGTGAGGGGTCAGTGCTTCTCTTCTGAGATAGTTTTCACATAATTTCTCAGGAGGAAAACAGTCATTATGTAGAGCTTCTTGAACTTGTGCAGGACAAGGAGGAGAGAAAAAATTATTTTCTTCTAACCTGTATGTGTGTCTGCCAAACCAAACTTTTTGGGAACCTCTGGAATGGTTTTTATAAGATTTGTCTCGAATAATAAACACTCAGGTTTACAATGAGAAAAAGAGAGCAAGTGAATTCCTGAAGTTCTGTTCTCTTCAAGGATCTTTCAATGTCCTTTTCAAGGACCAGTGTCACCTGTGCCATCTCCACATCACAAGGGACTTATTTGATGAGGAGCCTGGGATCAGGCACTCTGGAAGACAGAAGGCAGCCTCTAGTTACCATAAAGAGAAATGTGCCAAATAGCAAGAGATGCTGGGAAACTTTCTTATGTCTCAGGACATGGGGGAAATGTATAAAAAAAAAGATCATCTATCCAATCTTGTCATTAATTAGGAGAAACTGTGAGAAAAGTAAATGGAGGAAGGGTGTAGAGTGCATTACTGTGGCAGAAACAAGTAAAGGATGGAAAACTTCTGGACAATCTAACAGCACTGGGTGGAAGTGCACAGTTTCTGAGACTGTGGGACAGGCGAGGCTTTCCAATGAGGAAAAAGCAACCCCACACTTCACCCTCACTGTGGGTGAGGGATATTTTTGAAGGGAAAAGTCCTGAGTATTTTAATTGGGGTTCTCCCTGGGGAGCAAAGTACTTTGTTATTCCAAGCAATGCAAGTAAACCTAAGGGATTAGATTTTGCTTCCTCATCCCCTAGCTACTGGGAACAGCTTCTGTTTTGGTTCACAGAGTTATAGTTTTTAAGAGGAAATGTATTTCCCTTGGGTCATACCAAGCTTCCCTTGGTAACTACAGAGCTTATGTCACATCCTGTTTCTGCAAACCCAATTAAGTCAAATTTTGCTGTTCTGTTAGAAAAGAAATTAGAATCATAGAATCATTAGGGTTGGAAAGGACCTTAAGATCATCTAGTTCCACCCCCCCTGCCGTGGGCAGGGATACCTGATTTGTTGCAGTGACAAATTTGATTGTCACTGATATATTGAACTTTCTAATGGATGCTTTACAATACCAGCCACTTGTTTCTTTAAGTATTTCAAACAAGAAGAAAATGTCTCTCAGTGCCACTTTTAAACTTGTGCACTAAGCTTGTGAAGTCTGCTTCCACATGTAGATGCTCACAGGAGTGTTAGAGATAAGGCTGACTCAAAATACTGCAGATGGCCCCTTGAAAGAAGCCCCGGTAGTCCTACACTACTAGCACTTTTGATAAAAAAATCATCTGAGTGAGGACATCTTATCCCTGCTATAAGACGAGCAGCAGCAGAGATTCTACTCTGGGTCTTCTCTGTCCCCATCCATTAACCACTTTAGAGCTAAGGGGACAGCTTTAAGTATCCTAGGGAACAGCAATAAGATTCCATTTATCTTTCAATGTGGTTTTATGTTTTTTAGCATTAATAGGGTTCCAGTTCTGATGCTGAGTTTTTAAAGAAAAATAAAATAAAATTCTAGCAGTGAATATCACCTGTAGTAAAGGATTGGATCATTTGATGCATTTTGCTCCTTAGTAGCACTAAGGTTTTTTGTGAACTGCAACATAACATCCTTTTGATCTCTCTTTTCTTTGCATTAGGGACACTCTGTTCACTTACCATTGAGAAAGCTATGCCTGAAGATGGGGGCGAATACAAATGCATAGCTGAGAATGTAGCGGGAAAAGCTGAATGTGCTTGCAAAGTGCTGGTAGAAGGTAAGTACTTTGCTGGATACGGGAAAGACATTCCTTAAAACTTCCTTCTCCCCCCTTTTATTTCCTAATACCAGCCTTTATGAACCACATACACAAAAAAAAGAACTCTGCCCCTTCCTTTCTGTACTTTTCATCAATACATAATTTGATGTCTGTTGTAAAAGGGCATGAGCAGAGAGACAGTACAGAGCCAAGGGCTCTGGCTGCTTTGTGGAATAATGTATGTTCTCCTGCTACCCACTGTACAAGGTTAGTAGAGCAGCAAGTTGAACCCATGAAAATTTGTTTCTGGTCTGTATTCATTCTTTAAGAGCATGTAAGAATTCAGTGTGTGAGCCTGGGTACCAGTCTGCCTCAGGACTATGTATGGCACAGTGCAAAAAATAAACAAATTAGCAAGTCAACCACCCTTGTATGTCATAGTCTTAAACACGGATAATTTGCTTACTGAGGTACCCATTTTCAGCTTCAGTCATGCTGATGACACTGTCGTTTTCTTGGCCTTGGGCAAATATTTTGTCATTAAGGTGAGAGCACAGACTTAAAACTGACATGGACTTTAGTCTTTAAGTAACCAAATGAGCTTTTTATCAGCTCACCTTCTGGTGAGCTCATCCATAAATACTCTGATACTTTCCATTGTGACTGAAAAGAACATAAAAGTAAACAACGAGTCCAATAACATAGATCTTGGATACTAAGCCTTCACAACTGTCTTACAGACTTGGTAGGAAGTCTAAAAAGGAAAACCGTAGTTTTCCTAATGTAGAATGACACAAGGTAAGAGTATAATCCTGTAAATCCATCAGTAAGAGTCAGTCTTCATGTAGCTGGAAAAGGAATTAATTATACATATAATTGTTGCTCGTGCAATGTTGGACACCAGAATGACCACATTCCTTACTTTGATATTGGCTACCTTATCAGTCTTTTCCAATTCTTACTGGCATGCTGCTTTGTACAGCTGAGAAGAGTGGCACCACAGCAAACTCCAGCTATTCAGGAGAGATGACATTTGATATCCCATGTCTGTGACTGGCAGAGGGGATGACTGTTATTTTTAAGTCAGAACTGTGATCTAAAACAACAAATAAAATTGCTCCTTCTACACAGTGTGATGTCAGCACCTTAGAACCTGATTTTCATACTCAACAAGTAACCATAAATACTATATTCCCTTTGGTCCCATAGACTCAAATCAGATTAATATTTGACTTCCATTGTCAAATTAGTTCAGGGACAAATTTGTAGAATCTGAGTGTCTGAACTCAGATCTAGCACAGCCTTTGGTCTGAATTACTTCAGAATCTAGAAGGTTCTGTCTTTCCTTGTTAACTTTTTAGGAAACTTAGATGAACTTTCACACTCTGGAAACTAGAAGTAGGTGACTGAAATATGTGGTTACATGACATTTATATTATCTTTTCTCTGAAAGCTGAATATTTGAAAGCTATAAATTAATACAGCTATTGCTGAGATCATAATCCAAATCTGGGAACTTTCTCCCAACGATAAATGTCAGGATCAAATAATCTAACAAGTGGAGCTCATTAGGACTTGCATTATATGACATGCTCAACCTGAGAAAACCTTACTGTAGAAAAAGTAGTACCTTCTAGTTGTATGTGTCTATGTCATATGGGATACAGATGGAAGAGAGCTTGTATTGTCTCTTAGATGTCAGGGTGCCTGCAGTACTGTGTAGTTTCTGGGTATGAGCTGTGCAATCTTGAGAATAATGAAATCCATTAAACTTGAGTTCTGTGGTGTCTTTTGTGCCATTTTTATTTTGAATGAACCAATGTATAATGAAATCTTCTTGGAAAGAGTTAAACATACAAAGGAAATGCTACTTTTCAAAATTTGTTCATCTATATAGATCAAACAGACAATGGAACAGAAGCATGACATGGCAACAGATTCTTTTGGATGAAATGATGCTTCAAATATGCCTTTGTTTCCCTTTTCCATACACTGCCTAAAGCAGCTTTGTGCACGTTTTACTTTGTTATGTTCAGTTAAAATATACCTATCACCTTAGTTGTTGCCTTGTCTAGTTGCTTTCTCAGGTTCTCAGTTCTCCTGCTTTCATAGAGGACTTCTCCCTCTCTTCTCCCTCTTCCTTTCAGAATGTGACATTCTCCAGCAAATCTTTGCACAAAATCTGTCTTAAAAGACAAAGGACAACAATTTCCCCTAACTTTGCAGAAAGACCCCAAACAATCTAATGTTAATAGACAGGGGGGTTTTTTGTTATTGATTTTTAAATAAGATTTGCATTGTTATTTGTTTTGATTGCAGATGCCTCATCCACAAAGACCTCAAAGCCTATTGAGAAGAAGACCAAGAAGCCGAAGACCACACTTCCTCCTGTGCTGCCAACAGAGAGTAAGTAACAGTGATTTTGACTGCTTCCTTTTCAGTGGAAACAGAAGAGTGCTCTGGGATTCTGTGGTCATTCCCTTCTGTTTACAGGCATAGTATCAGAAGCTTGTGCTGTTTCTTTGATCCTTGCACATAAGTCATGTGAAATGAGTCTTTGCCTTGTGGGGATTAGAAGTGAGTGCTGAAACTGAGTTCACACCTAGCCTGTTCTATTCTCAGTTTTCCATAATGGTGCAATAAACTTATGACACAGATTTATTTTTGGATGCCTCCCAAAGAGCATAGAAATTCTTGAGTAGTTTTCTTCAAGTCATGTTGTGTTACCTGTAGATAAGATACGGTTTTACCACTGGTAGGAAAGATATCTTGACTGAAATGTCCAGTAGCTTAATCTGTCTTTTTTAACATGACCAAGAGGGGTGGTTTAGTGAATTTTACATTCCTTCTTTTAAATGCTTTACTTGCTTTGCTTTTAATGCTTTCTGAAATAACAAATCAGCTATAAATTCCCATGTTTGCTACTCTGCATGCATGCATTTGATTAAGAGGAATCTTTAAATGGTAAAGTCAGCATTATTCCATGTGTCGGCAATATTACATAATGTCGGTTTAGAAATTCCTAATACCACTTTTGAAATTAAGTGTCCATGGGATACAAACATCTTTTAAATCAAACACTGGACTTTGACGTTTTCTGTCTAAGATGTGTATCATGTAAGTTCCTAAAAAAGATGTGAAGACATGAAAGGCAATTCTGATGAAATCAAGAAATATTTTATCCAGTTCTCTTGGGAAAAAAAAAAAAAAGCAAAAACCAACAAAACCAAACAAAACAAAACCACAAACAAAAAAACACCAGAACCCAAAACCAACAAAACAAAAGACAAACCCAACCATCCCACCCACCCCCCCACCCAAAAAAAAAAAACAACAAACAAACAAAAAAAATCCCCAACCCAACCTATAATCTGATTTTCCAGCATGGAATATTTTCACCTACTTTCAGCAGGACCCAGTGCAGTTCTGTACTGATTGATGAGCACAGCTAATGAATCTGGAACTGTTGACTTACATAGAGCTATGCCCTGGACTACAGCTATTTCTGAGTTGCTGGCTGAATATTGTAATTTTCCCTCCAGCCAATCATTTGGGGGTGTGGAGGGTCAGATCATCATACTCCACCTTTGCACCTGAGCTTCAAATGCTGTAAATAATAGCCATTAAGAACAATCATTTTGTTCTTGAACATCAACAGAATGTTATAAAGCCATTTAAAGCTCTGCTGGATAGCGTTTTGAATAGTGTTTTCTATGCAGACAAATGCATATATTTCCTCTGATTCTCCCAGCAGTATTATCAATCCCAGGAGAAACTGTGAGTGGGGACCTAAGTCTAAACATGCAGATATATTACCTGATCCACATCCTGCTGTAATTACTGCTTGCTGTTGATTTTAGTGAAAATACGCTATTGGTAGCAAAACAGAAGCTAGCAGCTCTGGCTTCAGAAATGATTGGGGAAAGAACATTCACATAATGGTGAATCGTTTTCCTAAGGTTGCCTCACTGCATATTATATCAGTGTTTAAAGTCCTTCAACTTCTCATAAGTTTTGTTTTCAAAATACCTTTGAAACCTCTTCCATTTTGCACTGAAAACATCAAGGTAAACAGAGAGAATGTTAGGAATCTGGACTTTGGAATAGTTTTTGAAAACTTGGGAAATACATATTTAACTTTAAAAGGATTTGGCTGCAGAAATTCCACAGGCGGTTTTTAACATCTCAATCTCAGTCTCTGAGGACTGTAGGTATTCATCTGCCTGAAATGAGTGTTGTATTTGTATTTTTGTCAAGGGCAAAATATAAAAAACTGATCAACTTCATAGTTTCAATTTAAACTAAAATCCCTTCTGGATGTAAAGATTTTTAAGTTCCTTTCCTGAAAGGGAACAGGCTTAACAAGACACAGATTTGTGCATCTTACTGTGTTTCTCTCGAAAAGAAGGTTAATAAAGAATAACTATGGATTAAGATGTCTCAATCTAATAAGGAGATGAATTTTTACTTTGATCTCTTCCAGTCTTTGTTGCCACATTAACTAACCAACAGTCTTAGTGGCAAGTAGAGTGTGAGGAATGATGCTGAAGAAATAGATGACAAAAAAATCAATTATTCCCACTGAATAGAGTCTGAATTTTGTATAGTGAATTCAGTTACAACAGAAGGCACTGTACTGTATGGGGTACTGAAGCTACATATTCTCTGTCATTTTAAGAAATACTTCTCAGGGAAAAAAAAATCATATTTTTCATTTTGTGTAAAAAAGTGCTAGTCAGATTTCATGGTTAGCAGCTATGTCAACCTTGTCTTCCTTCAAATAAATTATAAGTGATACTTGTTTTTTTTGCTCTAGTAGAAACCTTCAGGAAAGTAATTAACTTTTACTTCCTGAAAGCAAGGATCGATACATTTCTCTTTGTGAAAGGGAATGAATGTTGTCACTATGTTAATCTATAGAATTTGTCTCGCTGTTAGAACAGTTGCTGACCCAGATCATTTAACTGCTCATTTTAACATTATTTTACTACTGGAAGCTTGGGGTTTTTAAGCTGCAGAAATACAACAGTAAGTAAAATTTTGGGCATTACCTCTTTTGAAATAAATTATGTTCTAGACCCTGGTTTAGAATAAGCAGTTATTCTCAGAAAAACATCTATAAAGACAGCTTTGTAGCATTCAAGGATTAACAATATCTCTGAATGCATGTGTTCAGGGTTTGCATGCAGAAAGATTGTTCCCATGGTAACAAATTAGGAAAATTATACTTGTTTTTGCTTACAATTAATATTGTGTCACCAGAATTTAGTAATAATTGCAGCTCTGTAATGATAAACAGAATAAATAATAAAGTTTCTAAGAATAACAAACAGATCTATCTTTCAATCAGATGATTGAAATCAATCCTAAGGGAGCATGGAGGAGGGACACCTCCTTATTAAATGTTAGAATTGGCCCATTCTTCACTGACTGTACTGACTTAAGCTTTGTCACTTGTTTCTTTGCTAGGTGGGTATGAAATGATACTGAGCTAGAATAGTAAAATGTTATGTTTCTTCTTCACAGATATAAGAGATTAGCAGAGGCAATGGACAATTAGAACCTTTCATTATTTACCATACCGCATACTCCATGCTATGCTAGAACAACCAGTGTATAATATCAGGCTCTTCTAGTCTGATATAACCCTGCAGCAGAAGGTACTAAGCCAAAAATTCTCACCACTTTAACATTTCTCTAGAGAGCTTTGAAAGCATCTGCTGCAAAGGAATTTGGGCACCCAATACCCATTAATATTAGAAGTTACTTCAAATTAGGCTTAAAGGGAATTGCTTATTTCAATTACCTAAGCTGCAAAATCTTCAGTGCCTATTAAAAAATCTTTCTGTTAAAACAGAATGAGGAAAAATCAAAGTGCTGCTTGAGATTTTTAAGCGCAATGATTTGTAGGTTTATAATTTTAAAATCTCTTTTTCAAAACATATATTACTACTCCACAATCCCTAATATTTTGTTCTCATTAATGTGTCTTAATCTGAGGACCAAAACAGCAGTTATTCATAGCTGGAGTGATTAGCCCAAGATGAGGCACTTTCATTTGCAGATCTAGAACCCAACTTTCTTGATCTTCAGCTTCACTACTAGTTTTTATGCAATACCCCAAATACTATAACTTTTTTTTTAACTGACATCCCAAAACTTTGCATAAAACATGAGTCTTCCAAAAGAAATTTTTTTTCAAAGTTTTGGTTTGTTTTTTTTTTTCAAGATTTGCAGAGGAAAAAGGCATATTACAACAATTAGATGCTATTTTTTAAACTTCACCACAGTTGAGCTGTGCAACGTAACTTTACTACAGTAGGAAGAAACTGTATCCTCTTCATTGCTACTGAGACAAGAATTTGCTTTAAGGCTTTAGAAAATAACCCTCCTAAATCTAAGCATTGTTTTAAAGGGTTTGGAAAGAAATGCCACTGCTTTTTGTAGGGCTAATTCACTGCGCTACTTCCAGTAAATATTAAGAAACAGCAGCTATCACCTATCATAATAAGTGGTATGAAAACCTAACAGGATATCCTGGATTCCCTCGTCTGAGTAACACTTGTTAAACCCGCTGTTCTCATACCCAGATCACATACATTGAGGGGATGACACAGCACAGAATTTGTTTGCTCAAATAGAAGTTCTTCTGCTCTGTTAAAATTCAGTTACATCAAAGAAAACAACTTCTTCCACGCATCTTCAAGTAAAGAAGCCTAGAGTGCATTATTAGCAGTATTTGGTAGCTTGCTGATATAAATCTTCTATATCTGCTACTATATAAAATGTTTTATTTCATATCAAACACATCAAGTTAGTAACAATGCGTTCTTTTGCTGACAGTATTAATAAAATGTCACAACTGACACTTTCCAGATCAAATCCTCTGGAAGGCTGCTCTGTTATCTTCCCAGATCTGATTTCTCAACATTATTGGTACTTGAATGCAGGACTAAGCAGTGGCATCTCTGAACAGTGTGTCATAAAAGTAAATATGTCAGACAGAACTCCTTATCATGTTATATATTCTTTTCCATGGGGGAGGAAGCGGGAAAACTCCAAGCATTTTAATTACCATGGAAAAATTGTGAGGCAGTGGCCAAATGATTAGCACACAGTTCTGTTATTTACTCTTGAATAAACAATCTTATCAGAGGATCCAAGTCTGCAACCACCATTTTAAGAAAATGTCATTAAAACATTAAACTTGATGTATCGAGTTTAGATAATATATAACTAAATTAGTAAACACTTAAAGTATTTTGTTTTCCATTCTACCAATATAATACCAAACATGGCACTGATTAATATACAATGTTTCAAAATCTTCATTTCATGTCAGATAGTTTTGTCCTCAGTATAAAACTTGCCACTTTCTACAGGAAGAACTCAGTTAGTAAGGAAGC